AGGGCCGTCCTACAGCTGATCAGTGTTAAAAGCAAACAAATGAGTCGGGTAGTAAGTGCAAGGACTTGGTCGTAAGTGCGAGGACCTTCCAGAAATGACTCTGACCAGCTAGCCACGCCCAACTAGTCACATGACCTCCAAGCCACACCCACAAAATAAGCCACGCCCACAGAACCGGTAGTAAAAAAAATTAGAACCCACCCCTGCTCCAGAGGCTTTCTTGGAGCCTAGGAAGGGCGAAAACAGCCTTCCCCACCCCCCCGGAGGCCCTCTGGAGGCCTAAAACAGCCCATTTCCTGACTTCCAGTGGGACCGGAAGACCTGAAATCAGCTGGCCAGCATGCTCATGCACGCTGGAGCTGAGGTAGGGCAACGCTCGCATGCCCAGGGATATGGCTCCCTGTGCCACCTGTGGCACATGTGCCATATGTTCACCATCATGGTACTAGGGGGTATATATAAACCTCTACTTAGATATGGCACAGATATTTAATTGGCTGTTAGTGTGCTAGATAAGCTACCCTGTGGCTCTACAATGCAGTTGTTAAAGTCTTAATCCAGTTCAGGAAGCTACTGTAACAGATAGTAATTAACATTTCACCACATTCTCTTCCAGAGAATGAACAGAGCCCTAATACTAATAAGAATTAAAAATCTGATAGGTTTGTCAGTTCCTGGCTTTGACTTTAGCTGATCAGATAAGAAATTACAGTTATTGGTGCTTAAGAGTTCACATGTCCAGCAGAACAGACTATGAGGTAAGTCAGAAGAAGAAAAGGTGTATCACCAGCGAAAATAAAGAATTTCTGGATCAGCAAAATACTACAATAGTAGTAGCAATAAGAAAGCTGATCAAAGAAGTCAACAAGAGGTAGACAATGACGCCAAAGCTACTGAAATATTTATTAACAGAATTAGTGCATTAAATGCAATTTAGCTCTAGGTTCATCTGCTGAAATAGCATAATTAAAACTATGTACCTGATTTTGTATTGTCCACAACGTATGAAAAACAGCTAATTGAGCCATGGAACATTGATTGCAAGATTATCAAAATAAGTATATTTTTCTTCTCTGACCTCCATACAAATCAAGGTATGCTCAACTGACAAGAATATAAAGGTAGTCCTCGACTTACAACAGTTCGTTTAATGACCATTCAAAGTTACAACGGGACTGAAAAAATGTGACTTAGCACCGTTTTTCACAGTTACGACCTTTGCAGCATCCCCTTGATCATGTGATCAAAATTCAGTTGCTTGGCAACTCGTTCAAATGTATGACAGTTGCTGTATCCCAAGATCATGGGATCCCCTTTGGCAACCTTCTGACAAGCAAAGTCAATAGGGAAGCCAAACACACTTAACAATTGGGTCACTAACTTATCAGCTGCAGTGATTCACTTAACAATTGTGGCAAGAGAGGCCGTAAAATGGGGCAAAATTCACTTAAGCAATGTCTCACTTACCAACAGAAATTTTGGGCTCAACTGTGGCCATAAGTCAAGGACCACTTGTACTAGGGAAGTACAGGTAGGTATTTACACCCCAGATTCAAAGTTCCAACCTCTGGGCCCTCTCGTGGTCATGTAACCACATTTTGGGGGTTTCAGCACCTGACCCAAATTTATGGCTGTTTGTAGTGTCCCATAGTCATGGGGCCACAATTTATAACATTTTTGGCATAACACAGCATTTACTTCTGGTTTCCAGCCAAACACACCCCATAGTGAACAATGACTTCATTTAATGACCATGGTATTAATGACTACACCATTGGTTTGTAACCAAGGTGTTCGCTTAATGGCCAACTCAAAAAGGTTGTAGAATCAGGTGCCGGTTGTGTGATGACCCACTTAATGATCATCACAACATGTGACTGTAATTGCAGGCTCAAATATGGTTGCAAGTCCAGCACTACCTGTACTTAAATATGCCATCCCTCATAATCCAAATAAATACCTTAAATGGCCCCCTAAATGACCTTATAATTGGAATCCTGTTTTATAAGGAGGGCTTGCATGTGGACAGTTAAAACCATGGATAGGGAATGAGTTAATGTGGAAAGAAAATTGCCCTATATGGTCGCTGTAAAACTCAGTACTTTTTTTCACTGTGTCTTTAGAAAGTAGATTTTTTTTTTTCCTCCCCAGGTCTTAGAAACTTACTCTGCCATTTCTGGGTTCACTTTGCAGCGGTTTGGTTGATAATTGTGAAGAGCTGGAAAGGTCAATTCTGTCTGTTTTATCGGCATCACTTTATTGGGACTGCTACTCAGAGTTATTGCTGCTGGCAAAACGTTACATTTTAAAAATGTCACCCGTTTTTAGTTACGACTGTTGCAATGATTGTTTAAGAGGATTCGGATAAGAGATGGCTCCTGCAGCATAGCCTTGTTCATTTTGAATCTGAGATTAAACAAAGAGAATAGCCTGTAGTTTAATTGGCTGTTATCAAAGATGGCACTCCAGATAGGCCTTTCATCTCACATCAGCAGGGTAGCCGGCTGGTAACATGGTAACTGATGAGATGTAAGGTTTCGGATAGTCTTCTTCCGCCCCGTAATCCAACTGTGCTGATAGCATGCTAGGCATCTAATTGAGGTTCTTGTCACATTATCCGAATGCCGTGCGCCTATCCGAAATTGAGGTACAGCATGGATTCATCTCCTGGCATTTGAAGTGCTGCACCTTAGAAAGGCCAAGACAAATCTTTTCTGTCAGTTTTGCATTTTATTAAGTTTGGCACTTGTATATGTCCGGGACCATTTGCTAACCTGAGAAGCTGCGTTGTTCACTATGTATCAAAGGCTTTTGTCCAGCTAAAATATGGCTTTGTCTCAGGGAAGGCTAATACGAGAATCTACAACTTGAATTTTTAGCTAAAATTAATTGGGCAGCTGCGGGGGGGGGGGATTCTCTGGTTCCTTTGATTCTTACCGATTTGTTGTCTCTTCTTAGAGAAAAGACATTGCCTTGATATACTGTGGACTCTTAGTACAATCCATAATATTTATTTATTTTATTTATTCAATTTCTATACCGCCCTTCTCCTGGTGGACTCAGGGCGGTGCACAGCCAAAACTAAAATACATAACAATACAAAATTTAAAATTAATTAAAAGAATTATATACTTTGGCCCGAATTAAAACAGTGCGAATTAAAACCCATTAACAAATTAAAACTAAACAATTAATACCCATTAAAAACTAAAAAAGGGGGGTGGGGTTCACGCCAGCCCTGCTTGCTGGAAAAGAAGAGTTTTCAGGGCTCGGCGAAAGACCCGAAGATCCGATATCCTTCTTATCTCCGGGGGCAAATCGTTCCAGAGGGCAGGGGCTGCCACAGAGAAGGCCCTCCCCCTGGGGGTCGCCAGCCGACATTGCCTGGCCGACGGCACCCTGAGGAGTCCCTCTCTGTGGGAGCGTACTGGACGGTGGGAGGCTATCGGCGGCAGAAGGCGGTCCCGCAATAATAATGCCTGATTTGGGGAGATTAAGCCAACTCGGAGATTAAGCAATGAGTTTTTGATCAGGAATCACAAAGTGACGGAATCAAATTTCCCTGGCCTCCACAGCAGACCTTTCTCCAAATCTATTTATTTCTTGGACATTGTTTACCTCCATTACCTCCAAGGAAAACAGTCATTGTAGATAAGCTTAATAGTGCAATTGATGGTGTTGGGGAGAGTTTTAGCAACATCCTATTTCAGGACTGCCCATATCTACATTTCGATAGGACAATGAAGACAGTTGAGGATGTCTTGTGGTGTTGACTTTATCCTTGAGGTTGTAATATCTCATATTTTAACTAATTGCTTCAGCTGGTCTGTGGAGGAGAATGCACTCTTTTTTTTTTTTTAATCAGTGCACTGATCTATAAAAATTTCTAGGAGGATTTCCAAATCTGCTCAGTTGCTATTGTGATAAAACTCTACGTTTGGCTATACTGCTGGGTACACATCAGTGGTGGGATTCAACCGGTGTAACAACTGTTCGCTGAGCACACGAGGAAATAAAGGTAAGTAAAGCACAGGGGTGGGTGGGCCCAATTGATCGTCAGAGTGAACTGGTTCACTCCCAGTTGATTGTTGGAGTGACCGATTCGCTCGAACAGGTCCGAACTGGTAGAATCCCACCACTGGTACACATTTGGATATTTATCGCTAATCAAGCAAAGTACACCTGGTTTATAATAGGGCTATCATGGTTCAGGTACAGGACTCAGTTTCTGATGCTGAAGAGGAAGCTCCAGAAGAGCCTTTGATATGTCAGCCTCAGGAAGAATCACACGAGGATGATCAAACACAGGGAATATCTAAGCAACAGGAAACGTCAGAGGAGGTTGAACCTCCCAGCCCATGCATGTGATAGGTAGAGAGGAGAGCAGAACAAAGAACGTCTATTAGGCTCCTGGCCAAGAAGTAAATCTTCTGACTAATGACAGCTGGCTGCAGTCTATATAAGGATCTACTCTGCCCTTGTTCTCATTGCTGGACATAATGCTTGACATTCAGCTCGAGTGTGACATTCTGCTTTTTGGATCTCTGATCTTTAGACTAACCAATAACCTTGACCCAACTCTAAAACCTTGGATTGACTCTGGATGATTCTTTAGCATGCTCTTGTTCTCAAAGCAAATCTTGCAAGCAAGTCCCAGTTTTGTTCACATTTCTGTGCTCTTTTTACATTCCTTTATTTCTGTGCACATATGTGGCTGAAAGTTGCAGCAGGACAGGCCTGCACATCATACTGTATGTCCTGCCATGCAGTCTTATGTAGCCAGCTAGTGTTTTTTTTTTTTTTTTAAATAATTAATTTACCATTGCCAAACATTATCACTACCAGGAAAAACATGTCACCGTGAAAAATATACCTCAGGCATGTTGATATTTCTTTGACTATTACCACTGTATCCTACTTTTAGCTATAATGATTTCTACTATTTATAGATAGAAATCCAATCTCCCAAATAAAACAATGGTTTTTTTTCCCCTAGAAACAGAAAGAAGTCTGAAGTTACATTCCAGAATTCATGCTCATCTGTTTTCGAAGAAGACCTTTTACATTTTCAAAAGCAATGAATATTATTTAACACAAGAGCATACAGTAACTTTATTTTCTTACTTTGATATTTTAGAGCCATGTAAGGACAAAACTAATTGTATTTGTGATCAAGCACCCACAAAAGCCCTTTTGGAATGCATTTTGTGTGCTGTTGCTGGATCACTGTCTTGTTCTTTATTTTTAAAATCGTTGTTCTTATTTTTCTCTTTATTATTTTATCTCTGATTATTCATTTTATATTTATTGTCATTACACCTTGACCCATCCAAAGACATCTGGAGTCAGGCGGTGCATAAATTGATTAAATCAAATCAAATCAAATTAAATTCATTCACCCAAAATTAACAAACAGGTTAAAAAAAAAAGACCTAGCCACTGTTTTATTATATCACGTTCTATTGTTTAAATACTTCTATCCAACCCAACTGCAACATTGCAGATGAGTTGAGCCCTGATGCAGAGGACTGTACTGAGTTAAGACAAAGGAGGATAGATGACTAAATTTATTTCAAATATTTATTTTTTCATACTAAAATGGATGATTCCCCATTGATCCCTCTAAACCAACCTCCCAATGTTGTTGTCTGAAAAGAAGCTGTAAGTGCATTTAGTTTCTGTAAGTCATCTTAGTTTCTTTGCACACTTCACTGATAATAGGGTGAAATGACAGAGAGAGTAGGAGTGCATTTCTTTGCCTCTCCTCCATGCATTATTTTTCAGAATGCCTGAAGGAGGTTTTAGTCTTTCATGTATTCATTATACTTTCAACAGGTTCAGTTGTTTTCTGTACCTCTTTATGAAAATCACGCTAGTATTATTTGTTCTGGAGTTTGTTGTATAGCTTTAATATACCTTCAGAAAGAATCACTGATTCTTTACTAATATTTTATTATTTATTTACTTATCAAGTTCTTGTTTGTTTTCTAGATTTCTATTCTATTTTCTTTCTAGGAAATTAAGCATCTTCCTGGGGATTGTCCTGGGTTATATCCTGACTATGTGGTGTATTTTGAACTAAGAGACACCGAAGGGGCCAAAATCATCAGGTCCATGCCTGAGAGTGGACTTCTGTTTGAACTCCTGCAAACTTAACCCAACCCCTTAGCGCAGCACTGGCTCTCTAATTCTTTGAGACACCATCACTGTACAGTGAGTTAAGTTCTTTTGAGCTCAATCAGTTTTGTTTCAGTTGATGGGGGAAAGTGCTGTAGCTTTAATTTTGTATTTGAACGCTACACTGAATTAAGGGCATATGAGTTATTTCCTCTCCCTCAAGAGAATTAACTAACTGTGTTTATAATGAGCTAACAGCATGAAAATTTAACCATGCCATCACCTCTCATCTATAAGCTGGAGTTGCACTCCATATAATGCGTTAGGATTGCTCTCTAAGGTGATTAGTGTCAGGCCCAAGCCCAAAGACGACACAGTGAAATCCAATCGAGTCCAATTCTTTATCTGCTTATACCAAGTGGATGGAATCTTGCCAGACTAAAGTTATAACTTTCTAACCTAACAGTTACATCCTGGGAGATGGCTACTCTGAATCTCATTCTCCCTGGCACATCTAGCTCTGCACCACACAGTCTCTTAATTTGGGTTTCTTTCTGGAATGTACTACCTCCTTCCTGAGAAATCATGCTACACTTGCAGGAAACCCCCCTCCCCTCCAGTCTTCTCCAAACTCACATTCCGTCACAATTAGGAGATGCCTCAACACTTGCCCTCCCCATTCTCAACAAATTACGACTTGTGCAGGATGTTAATGCAGCCCTACGTGCTTTAAGTTTATCAGTTAAAAGGTAAAGGTTTCCCCTGCCCAGTTGTGTCCAATTCTAGGAGGGGTCGGTGCTTATCTGCATTTCTTAGCCAAGGAAGCCAGTGTTAGCTGAAGATGTTTCTATGGTTATGTGGACAGCATGACTATATGCCAAAGGCACATGGAACACTGTTACCTTCCAACCAAAGTGGTACCTCTTTGTCTACTTGCATTCACCTGCTTTTGAACTGCTAGGTTGGGGGAGCTGGTACAGGACCAGCAGCTCCACCTTGTCATGCCTTGTTTGGGTATTGAACTACCAACCTTCTGATCAACAAGCCCAGAGTCTTAACCACTGGGCCACCACACCCCATAGTCTAATCAGTACACCATCTATATTAGTAACAGTCGCTTTCATGATCCTTTTTAAATGATGCATAATTTTTCAGAGTTTGCGGTCTATCTATGGGACCACAGAATAAATAAATTATGGATCATGGTAACAAGTCCTTGGGTCTTGTAGAATCAGAGCTGAATGATCAGTGGCACTGTGCAGTACTTTATCACATTTATGCTCAAATTTCAGTTCGGTGAGATTTATTTGCTGGATAAATTTAAATATAATCCTTTCATTAACCAATGTGAACAGGTATCTTTAAAAAACTGACAACAATAGAATCCCGACTCTTATATTCCCAACTGATTTTGGCTTTGTTTAAAATAGCTGTCCAAAATGAATATATCTGGCTGTTATCCTCCTGTATACAGGAGGACATTCACAGACAGTTAAATTAGTACCACATTGTATTTTTATTATAGGAAAAAGCACCAGTTCATTTTGTCATGCCCCTACTTTGCTCAAAGTAGATGTTCAGCTAACCTGTATTGCTACCAAAGAATAAAATCTTAATTCTCAAGTATATTATAATCAACACCTTTGTATACTCCGTAGATTTAAATTCCATCAGGCATTAAAGTCCATCTGACAAGTTGGTCTATAACTATGTTCCTGATGGATTTTTATATAATTATCTGAGTGGTTGTTTCCCTTTTGAAAAATAAATCTGAATAGAAATAATTCAGAACACTGAGCAAATTAGGTTTTTGTAAAAGTGGGCAAAATTGATATAATTTCTAATGCCTTTGTAAGGCTGTAGCTTAATTATTAAGATAAGCAGAAGGTTCTAACTGCAACCTCAAGAAACTCCAGATAAGAATGGCTGCTGTGTTAATGAAAAATATGCTGCGTGAACCATGGAAAAAATTCAGGCAACCGCCTTGGTCAGTAAACTAATGGAAATATATGTAAGTTTTCAGGCAATGTAGGCAGAATCGGGTTCTAAAACCAAAGAGGGAAATCAGGCCAGAAATCAAGGCCAATAAGTCAGTAACAAGGATAGGCCAGGCACAGACTGAGCCCAGCAAGAGCTTTGTTTCTACCCCACTTTTCTGTTTTGGTAAGCACCGAAGGAGCCTAGCAAACTTTTCAAAGAAAGTATATTTACAATGAGAAACAGATTGAACTGAACAATACAAGGAATACTGAACCCTCTATCAATTAAAAGTATCCTGAAAGGAGATATATTCATACAAAAAGTTGGGGGCTTAAATGCAACTCTGAGGAGAGGCAATTCCATATTGGAAGAGGAAGGTAGAAAAAGGATCTCTTCTGGGGTACAGAATGATGAGGCATCCTGTAGGAAACAGGAAATAGTTCAATTTTTATGACTGTCCACATAATGTCATATTGTGCTGTTCTATCAGCAACAATGGGTCAGGCCACAAAGCACAGTGACTCATGAAGCATTCTTAGTAACTCCTAGTCTCAGTAAAATAAAACCAACCATTATTGTGAGACTACCTACCATAACTTCTTTCTTCTAGGATCCTTTCTATTGAGCTAGTTCACACATGACATTAACCTTAGCACTGATGATGTTCCCTAGTTTGGTAATGAAACGTCCGCATAAAACATCTAAGCTCAGAAACATCCAAGGACCCAACAGTTCAACCCTGCTACACATATTCTCTCATATCAATACTAAGCCATGATTATTATTTTTTTTTGAATAAGCTTCAAAAGTTAGGTCCTGTACATTTTACTAAATTATGAACTATGGCTTACAAAACTGCTGAATTAAAATTGTATGGTGTGCCAAAAATCAAACAAGCCACAACATGGCTTAGTGTGATGTATCGTCCCATCCATTGACATTCCATACAATATGGCTGTCTTGGCAACTACAAAATAACAGGACTGAATTGTATTTCTGATGAAAAGCGGGACATGGTGTAAAATGTGAGATAACAGTTTTATAAAGTGAGAAAAAGCTTTGATGAGTATAGGCAAGCAAATTAATCCCATTCCCTACAAACATTCAGTATAATGTCCATATTCTGGTATATTCTATGCATGCAATCAAACGCCTTCTTCCTCTTTTTTTCCTTCCTCCAATGCCAGATTTTGAAATGCTAAATCAGGCATTCTATTCCAACTCTACAATTAGAACCATGCGAAAAATGAATTAAATTCTCCTCCTTCATCACATTCTCAAGCAGAGGCTGGGCATTTCCAGCTGGAAGACCGAACTATTGTGCAACTTCTAGAAACCATGAAAATCAGAGCTCTGAATAATGAGAAAGCTACATTAGTAGAGCACACTCCATTCTGCAGATCCATGCCTCTCAACTTAGTGACTGTAACAAAGAGACTAACATGCCTTTTCTATTCTCTGTCATGGACTTTATGGGACTATATATATTCTCTCTGTGTTGTATGTGTGTATGTATAAAACATAACAGCTGCGCATAATGACAGTCAAATTCCTCCAGAGCTCATATGAATAACCATAAATCCATAGCTGGAGTCACCCTCGCTACAACACCAGAGATTACAATTCTGTGTGGGAATTGTATCTTGGGCATACCAATATGTTGAGTTGCTATATATTTACATCATATTTTACTGGGGTATGGTTAAATATACCTATTTTAAAACCCACCCATGTGAAACATGTATGCATTTGTTTCAGGTTATTGATTTGTGGCACTCTGGTTCTGTAATACATCTCGCTGGAAGGGATTTTTCTTTTAGCCTACACGGTAAAACTGTGAACATGAAATAACGAAGATAAGATTATTTTCTGTTTTCATCTCTATTTACATTTTTCTTTAAAGAACAGCAAATGAAAGAAATAAAGGGCAAACAACATGTAGGCTCTTAATGTTCCCCCAGCAGCTTTTTATCTGTTAAATTTACATCCTAGTTGTAGCTTAGGGTATCAAGGTACCATATGTAGTCCTCCCTCCTTCATTTTCCCCCCAATAATTCTGGGAAGTGAGTTGGCTGAACATGGACCAGTTGTTTCAGTTTTAGTTCTTAAGTTCTTCCCACTTCTTTTCCATATGTTTCCCATAATGTAAATAGGGCGTTGTGACAGTGGCAGGTAAAGGAAATGGAGGGGGTAGAACGCTATAAGAATGAATAAGTGAAGGATAGGCATGATCTTTCTTTTTGGCCCTGCTTGTGGTATGGATTCATTCTTCCAAATGCTGCCTTGCATGGAGACTTGAATACTGGACTTACTATGCATTGCTATAAGGTAGGAGCCTCACTTCATAGCCATCATTTGTTGACCCTGACCAAAAGATCCCATCAATTATCTCAAACTTCTACACATTCTGGTTCTTTGCCCCTTTCCAAATCAGTTCCCACCCACCCACCCCCTTTTCTTGCTTTACTGATGGGTGAAACCCAAACTTGAGTCAGTTCTGCCTGTGGATGTTTCTTTTCTCCCAGGAAAGACTGCTTATTACCCTTCTTATCTATCACCTCTGTTTCCATTGAGTCAGGCTGGGGAACTGACTGGAAGGCAGCTCTGCTATAGCATGGAACTTCTCTCTCTCTCTCACACACACACACACACTCCTGCAGTGCTGATCTGTTGGCATAGAGAGAAGAAAGTGTCATCTTTTTTGTACATATGCATTTGCTAATAGATTTTTTTAAAAAAATCATTTATTACAGCTGACCCATGCAAGCACATTCCTTTGCCAAACACCAGATAAATGCACATAATTTTGTGTGGATAAATGTGTGCCCTATGTATGGGACAGGGGTCTAGAAACTTCCTTCCTTCCTTCCTTCCTTCCTTCCTTCCTTCCTTCCTTCCTTCCTTCCTTCCTTCCTTCCTCTCTCCCTCCCTCCCTCCCTCCCTTCTCTTCCTTCCCTCCCTCCTTCCCCTCCTCCCTTCCTCCTTTTTTAAATATCTGGGGTTGTGAGAACAAAAGAGAAATTCAACAATTGTAAGTTTGGATCAAATAACCAATGCTCATTAGCTAACATTGTTAGCACTCAGCTATCCACAGTATTGGGCAGAGTTGAGATTGTTTGAAAATACCCTCTTTGAGCTCCAGAATTATAAGCATATCTAGATATGCTGACCCAGTGGTGAAATACAAATTATTTTACTGCTGGTTCTGTGAGCGTGGCTTGGTGGGCATGGTGTGGCTTGGTGGGCATGGCTTGGTGGGTGTGGCAGGGGAAGGATAGTGCAAAATCTCCATTCCCTCCCCACTCCTGGGGGAAGGATATTGCAAAATCTCCATTCCCACCCCATGGCCAGCCAGAGGTGGTATTTGCCAGTTCTCCAAACTGCTCAAAATTTCCGCTACCAGTTCTCCAGAACCTGTCAGAACCTGCTGGATTTCACCTCTGTGCTGATCATATTCCTGAGCTGTGGATTGTGAGGACAAAGGGGAGGGAAAGCGAGTTGATTCAGAATGATCTAAAGATTGAATGGGTGGGTAACAGTAATTTGCAACATGCTATGAATTGGTCAAAACATTAATTTCAACTAACAATTAATTTCATTAATTTTAGCTTCATTAATATATGACTTTCATTCTATTTGCAGAATTGTAGTGGTTTCTGAGATATGTATCTATATATCTAAATACTGACATTAATATAAAATAGGCATCAGTATACTGACCATTTCCTGATGTCCTTCTTAGAATGTCTGTAACTTTCTGCATAGTTTGATATTTGGTAAAATATGATTCCATACTGTAGCTTTTGCACTTGTAAAAGGGGAAAAAGGACTAATATAAAACAGCTATTTTGTTTCATTACTGGCAAACATCTTAGTACATATTTCCCAAGGCACTACTATATCACATTGCACATTACACTGGTTGACAGCTAGGGGGATTGTGTTTTATTAAAACGTTAAAATACTAGCAATTTCTCTTTTATCCATGAAATATATTGTATATATGTCTCTGAAGGAAATAACCATAAAGGAGAAGGGAAAAAAAAACCCTGCAAACATGAATGTGCAAATCTAGAACTTGTCTTCTTCCTCTTGTCAAGCCATTGCTCAAGGAATCTAAAGAACTGGTTCGGGGCAAGATATGAGGAAATCCCTTGCCATAAAAATGAGGAGACATTGTGAGATTAATATTGCGCCTTATGCTCATAGTTGTGACGCAGGTGAGGGTCTTTGAGCTGAATAACCAATATGCTGAAATCCTAGGAGAGGTGCATCTCACCATCAACATTACCCTTCCGTGCTTTTTCTGTTGGAGTGCGAAAATAATAAGATCTGCAAGAAAATACCATTTGCCTGCAAGCAAGAACTGCTGGGACCACAAAACAGAGAAAGTCATAGAAAATAAAGAAGCTAAAGGGCTCTGGGACTTTCGAATTCAAACAGACAAGCACCTGCCATGTAATACCTCAGACTTAATAACTGGCGATAAGAAAGACAAAAGTGTCCGGATAGTGGATGTGGCAGTACCTGGAGACAGCAGAATAAAAGAGAAAGAATTGGAGAAGATCACAAAACACTAAGACCTGCAAATAGAAATAGAATGACTGTGGCAAAAGAAAGCAAAGTAGTAATAGGTGCCAGAGGTGCAATCCCAAAACAACCGGAGCACCACTTGAACACCATTGGCATTGATACATTCACCATCAGTCAATTGCAAAAGGCGGCTTTACTCAGAACAGCTTACATCCTGCAGACGATACCTCTAACACCATCAAACATCCACATCTGCAGCCCTTGCGAAGGACTCAATAGGTGGATAAAAATGCCAGATCCAGTCTAAACCTCTGGCTGATTGAGATGAACCAACAATAATCATATATTAATCCACTATTATTGCATTAGGGTTCTTTTATTCAAAGTGAAGGTCAAATTCCTATCCAGTAAGAATTTGGGTGTGTGTGTTTAATTATTTGATCTTTTGGACAAGATATAATGTCTGAGTCCAGCGTAAGACGTTTTAAATTGCCGAATTGACAAATCACTATTATATTACTTTGGAAAATAAATAGAAGTCAATTGTCAGTTCATTTATACATCATCTTCTTTTCCTTTTTTAATTTTAATTTTACTTTTCATTATTTTTTTATACTATTGCTGTAAAGCCCCAAGTTATGATTCATAAGGGGTCTTACGACAAATCTTATGACAAGATAGGAATTCTCGTCTCCCATCTCACTATCCAAAGCTACTGTTAAATAAAATAAATTGGGCAAATCTGCAGCAATTCTACAGATGTCTTTTGGCATGACTTCTATGAACTGTCAGAGAAGGACTACCAAAGAAACTAGGAACCTTGAAACTGTGTGGAACAGTTAATGGATCTGGGTATGTTTAACACAGAGAAGAAGTGACTGAGGTGGATATGGGTTTTCAAATATCCAAAGGGTTGTCATGTGGAAGAAGCAGTAGACTTATTCCCAGAGGGCAGCAGCAGAATCAGTCAAGGAAGGAGGAGGAACTTCTTGGCAGTAGAAGCCATTAGCCATTGGAATGACTTGCTGTCATGACTTCTGCATTTGAGGTCTTCAAATAGAGTCTACGTGGTGCTGAGATAATCTGGTATAAAACTGAATGTTGGAAAAATGACCTTCTAACTCTGATTCTATAAAACATAAGCTTAGTCCGATATCAGATATCAGATTTCTTGTCTGTTCATTACATATTTTCTTCCAACTGTGTTCTGATCTACTAATTTTAACAAATTTTAAAATCCAGGTGGGAATAATTAATTTTGAACACTTATATACAACAATTTGAAATTATAGTGATACTATATCACATTACCAATCTGTGATGCTGGTCCTTCTATTTCCTTCAGTGCCCAATGTGGAGATGAGCTTTTCAGAAGCCCAAAAGGAAGGGGTGATAGAGGTTATCTTTATCTTTTTAATAAAAAGTAACCATGCATGTACAGTTCACAAAGATCTGAGTTGAAGTGTAAAAGAACAGATGCTATCATTGACAACATACTGAATATGAATATGCCAACCTCTGTATAGCAACCTATCAATGGCCATAAGCGCACATTATTTAGGCAACTAAGGAAAATAAGCACATGATTTGGATGTAATTTGGGGGGGGGGTGTCTCCCTATTGTTTGCTTCTTGGCAAAATACAGATACGAAGATATTAACAATTTGCCTTCCAATAACACTATGCTTAAAAAATCTCTTTCTCTCTAATTTTTCATTGGAGCTTGATTTCA